CTGAGCTGAAGTCGGACGCTCAACCGACTGAGCCACCCAGGCACGCGAGTTCAGATCTCCCCTCTGTCCCCTTTTCACAGGTCTGACACAGAGTGTCCAGACTCAAGGACAGCATCAGGCACTCTGAAATTCTTTTTACCAAGTAGCCTTGAAGCTCCTGAGGTCAGCAGGGTTTCCTGAACAGTCAAGGCTGGTTGTGAGGCAAAATGAAAGCATTTGCCTGTGGAGAAATTTTCCATATGTGAACCATAAACTCCCATATCCCGTTTTTGGCCACACTTGGACTTCCCCAGAGTTGGTCAGACATCCCCCCTGGCGGCCTCAATGGCAAACCAAAAAAATCCTATCTCCCGTCTCCCACCATCTTCCCCTCGCTCTCTTTACCTTCTCAGTCAATCGTCTTGAATAAGACGATTATAAATAATATCACTACTTACTCAGTTCTCATTCACTTTTCTACCCGTGGCGAGCTGGCTTCTGTCTCTGCCTCTGGCTTGCAACTGCCCTGGCAGTGATGGCCTCTTTGTTGCTAAAACCAAGGGGCGCTTCTTTTTCTTCTCTTACCTGATCTCCAGGCAGTCATTGGAATTGTCCATCACACCCTTACTTTTGCAACATGCTTCCCTCAAACGCTTCTAAGTTTTCTTCCACCTTGGCAGACTCTTATTCCTTTGCCCACTGCTTAAGTGTTGGTCACTCTCAGGGTTCTAGATAAGACTGTCTTTTCTTCCCACTCTGCATTCTCTCCAAGAATGAACCAAAAACGCCTGTGGCATCTCCCCATGGCCTCTCTAGGTGTGGCCTCCTAATTCACTCCCTGCAGCCCAGTTGTCGGTCCTGATCTTTAGTCCAGATTCCCAACCACTTGTGGCACATCTCTCCTTTGCTGGGTCCCAACCCTCAGCCCCAGTATGTTCAAGCTGACACGAGAACCTTTCTCACCCCGACCCGTCATGTCCCCTACACATGGTTGGTACGGTCTACTGGTTGCCAGTAGACATATCAACGCCAGCTGCCCAAACCCGATACCGGAGAGGAATCCTTGACTGCTTTCTTGTTTATCCTCTATGACCAATCAGTCCTCAGGTCTCATCATCTTCCAGATGAGAAGATTCGGTCTCATCATCTTCCATCACATCTTCACCAAGTGGGTTTTGCTCTCTCAGCCTTGCCCTTCCTCAGACCAGTCTTCGTACGGGGGCAAGCGTGCCCTTGCTGCTCCTCAGTGGCTCCTCGTGACACTTGGGACAAAGCCCTGACCTCCTGAACTTGGCTGATGAGGCCATACGTGATTTGGTCAGCTCTTCCCTTCTGCCTCTCATTACATTCGTTTGCCTCCTGAGTGGCCTTGCGAGCTTCTCTCTCCTCGATTTCACATTATCGGTTTCTTCTCTCTAGCTCATTTTCTCAGACTTAGCCACAGGTCCAAACTTGGCACACTTCTACTCAAGCTTTTGCAGGGGCCCAAGTGTAGATAAAATGTCCTACCTACTAAATCCCATAGCGCCCGTAAAGAGAGCGTGGGTTCTTGGAGGAAAAGGGAGCATAGGAAGAGCCATTTCTTGTTCTTCGTTGCCAGGACACTTGACATAGTGCCCTGCACAAAGATGCTCATTGTACGCCTGTTGAATGAGTGAATGAATGAATGAGCTAACAAAGAACTCAGCAAGTATTAGAGTCTGTGTTGTGTTCTTATTTCTGTGTAGCCATTTTGATGCTCTTGTTCTCCTGCAGTCTTTAATGAGTAGTTATGGCATTCCAAATATTTCTCTCATTTCATTTAACCCTCATAATCTTCTGTGAGGTTTGGATTAGCCCCATTCCATATTTCATGGTCAGGTGAGAGGTGATTTGCTCAAGGTAAGAGAGTCAGAAGATCTGGGTTGAGCTTCCAGCCCTAAGTCCAGGGCCCTTTCCTTCTTGATTTTGGTGTCGAACATCAGTATGCTTTGATTCTGCCCAATCCTGTCTTCCATTCATTCCTGGCCTGATAGCTATTTCCTCTGGCCAGGTTCATTTTCAAACTCAAGGAGACCTGACACGGGTGCCTGTATGGCTCAGGTCATGGTCTCGCAGTTTGTGGGTTCAAGCCCTGCGTTGGGTTCCGTGCTGACCGCTCAGAGGCTGGAGCCCGCTCCGGATTCTGTGTCTCCCTCTCTCTCTGCCTTTCCCCCACTCATGTTCTGTCTCTGTCTCAAAAATAAATAAACCATAAAAAAAAATTAAAAAAAAAGTAAAAGGAAATTTGAGAGTATGGAACAGATATCCTAGTCAAAAAATTTGGTTCAGTGGCTTCTTTGGAGAGTAGAGATTTGGTATCAGAGAAAGTCAAGAGTTGAAGAAACAAGAGTTTGTAAACTTGTGTCATCCATTTGAGTGGCAATGGATTTATTAAACTTAAAAAGTCATTAGCCCTTGAGGACAGTGTCTTGTGCTTTTGCCCATAAAATGGGGGTATGAGTGATGGCTGTTCCCTAAAGGGGAAGGAACCAGAATTTAATGAATATCAACTGTGGATCAGGAACTGGTTTTGTCTTCTTGAAATGCTATAAAATAGGTATTTTGCCTGCCTGAGAAAAATTCTGGTAGAGGAAGTCACCCAGGTTACATGGCTAGTAAGTGGCCGAACTAGGTTCAGATTCAGAGCTTTCTGGCTCCCAGGTGCTTTGCATCATGTGGCAGACAGTGCATTCTGGAGGCACACGTCCTGTGCTCAAATTTTTCGGTTCTATGACTTCACTAGGATGTGTGACTTTGGGAAGCCATTTAATCTCTCCAAACCCCTGTGTTTCAATTTCCTCAGTGTGGATAACAGTGCTTCTTATAGCATTTTAGTGAGGATTAAACAAGGTAATATCTGGAAAGCATATCCTTCTACATATTAAATGTAATATATCAGCCACTATCATCATCACCCCACCATCACCTTTGGTCCTTCTACTTGAAAAGGACGTCGATTCTCCTGGGCCGTGATACAAAAGAGTACCCAGTGGATTCCTCTTGGCGTCTTTAGCGCTCTTTGGAATTTAACCATTGGCCAAGGATGTTGGGTGCGTGACTCAGAACACACGCCAGGAGGGATTGAAAGTAAAGTTGAAAAACAACAGAGTAGGCCACAGCTAAATGATGGGCAAATAACTCAGCTGGTTGGTTGGGAGTGCTACCATGGGAAATGTCCCGCAAATGTTTATGGATGTTTTCAGGGGGAGATAGTAGCTTAACTAGGCATGTTTGGATGTTCTACCTAGGAGCTGCCAAAAATATGTTTAAATTAACTTCATAAGAATAACGGTAATATTTAAAGTACACCTCATGTAATAACTAATGTTCTGTGAATCCTTGCTAAATGTCTGGAACTGTACTAAGCATATTGCTATCTTATTTAATCTTCAACCCAAGGTGGTAGATATTTTTATTATTTCCATCTCATAGTTAATGCAACTAAGGGCCACAAGGGTTAACTAGGGTCAGGGTTGTCCAACAAGTAAAAGAAAAGAGTGGCATCTGAATCCAAGTCGGGCTGTCTCCAGAGCCCATAGTTTTTCTGAATCATCATTATGCATGCCTTCTCATACCCTGTCTCTGCCTCAGATGCCTAATTTTGTGGATGACTTAAAGACCCAGTCTCTGTTCATGTATAGATTTTACCACCCTGCGGCAGATTCTCCAAAGTGGAAAGGAAGAGAAGAGAATTCTTAGATGGAGAGATGCCCCTGAGAGCTGATGTCAGGGTCTGATCTTGACGTTTGTATGGGCAGGATCTTCCCACTTGAACCCAGAGGATAGCTGCTCACAAGCTCCTTGCGAGGAAGCCAGTCCTCTTGGTGCAGCGTCATTCTTCTTCTCTAATGAGAAATAGATTGGATGGTAGCAACTAGAATTTATTTTAGGCCTTTGTTCTAAGAACCAATTAAGACTTTCACTTTGCCTTGAACTGATTCTGGTGTCCTTATGCATATTTTTTGAATTAAAGGCTAGAGTGTCCTGGACAGAGATTTTAGCAGCATTTTTGCTTAAATTCTTTTTAAAAAAGTTTCCAGCACCCTTCTCTTTCAGACTTTGAGTATCTCATAAACATGGTTAGAAGGATTTCTAACCTTGTTAGAAGGTTAGAAGGTCAGATTCACACCAATCTGAACTAGTGGACGACAGAACACCACTTACTCTTAAGAACTTAGTTTTCCTGGTGCTGACGTTCTGAGAGGGAAGGTTCTGGGTCATCCTGCTTTTTTTTTTTTTTTTTTTTAAATCAAAACTTGGGAAACAAGATTGGAGGGAGGGTTTTTCTTAACACTTCCTGATTCAAGAGGCACTCTGGAAGATTTAAATTTTTTTTTTTTTTCTTGGTTAACAGAGAGAGCAAGACAACGTATTTTGGTTTTTCCAGGACGCAGAGTCACTGTGCTTATTGGTCAGGGAGAAAATTGTGGCCGGGTTTCTCACCCATCAGCTGTGCCTGTGCCCGTGTATATGTATGTGTCGGTGGGAGACTGAGGTGCAGAGGGAAAGGCAATGTTAATTTCAATCCTTACGAAGAGATGAATTTTCTATCATGGGGGAATTCACAGGTAGGATTAATAAGCAAAATAAGCGGATGTGATCTGGGGTCCTTGAAGAACAGTGGAAATCAAGAGGACACAGCTAACGGTGTCTGGAGCTTTGGTTGCTAATTCCGAGATCTGAGAATTATTGTCTTCCAATTCTTCCTTCTCTCCTTTCTCTTTGCTGTTGTTTATTGGGTTTCTACCATCCATCAGACGTTTTGCTAAGGCCTTTATGTCCATGATCTCATTTGATTGTCACACAAGTTTATGAGACAGATATGATTGCTCTCTCCGGTTGACCAACAAGGAAATCAAGGCTCATAAAGATTAAGTAACTTGCCCCAGATCAGGCAAAGGGAAAAGTAGAGCCAGAACTCAACCCCGGGTTCTAGACCTTGGCCTCTCAACCACCATGTCACTGCTTCTTCGCTAAACATTCTTGTTCTTTGTTCCCAGGGACAGGATGAGGACTTCCGTCAATGTTGTGGGTGACTCCTTTGGGGCTGGGATTGTCTATCACCTCTCCAAGTCTGAGCTGGATACTATTGACTCCCAGCATCGAGTGCATGAAGATATTGAAATGACCAAGACTCAGTCCATTTATGATGACATGAAGAACCATAGGGAAAGCAACTCTAATCAATGTGTCTATGCTGCACACAACTCTGTCATAGTAGATGAGTGCAAGGTACCTTTCCCGTTCATGGATATTGAGACCTGTATATAATAGTGCATGCTCAGTTTCCTAAGACAAGCACCAAAAGTCCTGCATGTATTATTGTCACATTTATTTTTCTGAAGAATCATGTAACCCAAGCTTCTATGAGTCCCAGATCATCTAACTCTGTGTCTAACGTGGCAGATCTAACAGTCAAAGAGCCAATCGGTTGCTTGTTTCATCCATGTGATGTAAAACAATCATTTTGACCACCCCCCCTTTCCACCCACTCCACAAATTTGATTGGTTTTCTTGAACATTTTGCCGAAGAATTTGTGGTTCTTAAGGCTTTGTTGGATTTCAAATATTCTATTCCTTGAATGAAACACTAAGAGAAATACCCAGAATCATTCAATATATGTAGCACAAGTATTCCTACTTGCTGTATATTACATGCTGGTCAAAAATGTGCCCACACGACTTTGCGCAACTATTTTTTTCTTAATTATTTTTGTGGGAAGGTGAGTTTTGACCTTGCAGTCACTGTGCTCCAAGAATGGGGAAGCTGTTTCAAGCAAAGGATCTCTATCCCTCAGGACAATTATCCCATAGCCACTACTTTTCACACAGTGGTGGCACCATCTTTCTTGAAGCATGGATGTTCTGGACTCTTTTCCAAGCTGCTGGGTACTAAGTCTTCAAGCTTGATGGGCTCTGTCTAGCCTTCATGTAACTAACTTGACATTGTCAAAGACAGAGTGTCATGACCAGAGTGAAGCAAACTTGGAGAAACCCTGGCAGGTGAGCAGAGTCAACTCCGGGAGTTGGGTTGCCCAAATGATTCCAAGTAGCATCGGAAGGCAATCAGCACCCAGTACAGGTTTCTGATATTCTTTTGATTCGTGCTGACAGGATCTTATTTAATAGTTCATTTCTCCCTGGGTTACTTCTGGGTCATTCCAAACATACACATGGCCTCTGCCAGGCAAATAAGGGTGACACAGAAGTGATTCTCTTTACTGGATTGTAACATAGGTCCAGAAGTCTAATGGGCCAGCAGTAGTCTTTTGCTCATCCCCTCTCTACCGGGTACACGTGTGGGTGAACCAAGGCTCTGGTTCAAATTAAGGAAGGACTTAGCCATCAAGAGCAGCTGCAAAAACTAATTGACTCAGTGAAAATGATTCAAATTATTCGAAATTCAGATGTATCTAAAGCGCATATTCCATTCTCCTAGGAAGTTAGCTCTTCCCACGTCTAGATGAATGTGCTGGATTATTCCCCGTCAAATTTGGGTCAACAAGGGTCCACATTCTCATGAAATGGCTCTGTGCTCTATTTAGCAAGTATTTATTGTGTGCCTTGTGGGGTTTAGTTAAGCATCTCATTCCTGTGACCTCCTATATTTTGATCATTCATCAGATATTTATTGAGTGCCCATTATCTGCAAAGCCCTGAAACAGGCAATGGGAGGACAGAAAAGCGAATGTACCATTTTGTAGGAAAGAGAAGGGTTGATTCCAAGTTACTGCCATACAAAGAAAAAGAATAGCATCAAATAAAATGAAATCACCATATATTTTTACATTTTGCAATTATATGTAAGAAGAATCGTAGTGACTAATTGCCTGTGGTGTGGTTCTTTTGGAGCTTCTCAAGAGGCTTCCTAATAGTGTTAGAAGGACATGTTTTGAAAAAGATGGTATATAGATATGGAGATACATTTAGATTTCAGACTTCCTGGGTTCTTTTTCTTAAAGGACATTAGGAGAAGTTTGCTATGTTCTTAGAGCAAGAACAACTCAAGCCCCCTAAAGGAAGAGATTTGTGAACTGTCCCTATCACTAGGAAGCAAGCCCATGAGGAGAGACCCTGTTTCCGCATTTATCACTGCTGTATGCCAGCACCTAAAGCAGTACCTGGCATGCAGCAGGCGCTCTATAAATATTTGTTGTATGTATCCTTTTAGCATCTTGACCCTGTGCTTTGTTTCAGACAACCTTGTTGCTGGCCAGTTCTGTAGAGATACTGGCTTAGTCCGTCTCTATAACTGACTGCCTACCCAACCACCTGCAAACTTGGTGAATTAGCATTTACATGGTCGAAAGGACGCTGAGCAGGTCAGGGACATACCGAATGGCCATGTTGGTTTAATAACTATCTGGCCGTTTGGATTTTTTAGTGAAGTCATTGGGTTCGGCTCACCGAAGGTTAGTTGGCCTCAGCCTTCGCGAGGTGAGGCGAGCACCTCTTCCCACCTAGACCAACGAAACTGAGTTGCCACTGATGCACGAGAGGAGGCAGCCAGAGCCATCAAGATGAATTTGCACACTCTCCCGGAATATCTGAGTCACATTTATTCCTGCCTTTGAACTTCCTTCTGGTCCATTCTCCGTCTCACTGTTTTAAAAACCAAGATGGGAGCCGTCAATGCTTCCTGTCAGCCCCCTCCCCTTCCTGCTTTTCTATTACCCAGGTGGTTGGAATAGAGCAGGGTGGGATGGACCCGAGAGTTAGAGTCCTGGCTTCCTTGAACCGGCTCAGAAAAAGAAATGCCAAAAAAGGGGCTGTCCCGGCCACTTTTGAAACACAGGCCCCAGTATTCAACAACAGTGACGGCCACAGCAGGGCACACCCCCCAGTGCGGCCTGGTGTTCCAGAGGCCGCACAGCATGATTTATACTTTTGCACAGCTATTGATCTGGTTCGTCACGGAAAGCCAAATAGGCACATTCAAGGTCAGAGCGAACAGGCAGCTTTCTCCAGGCAGACAGTTTGTTCCTGGCAGTCTTTCCTGAGAGTTCACTGAAGGGGAAACAAATTTGCTGGAGCTCTGGTCAAAATGTTAACCACTTCGAGCGTTGCTACGTCATGTTGGTGTCTGCTGTTTTCAAACTCTTGCCTTGTCCTTGTAGTTGGAAGTTACGTGAGAGCTTTTTAATTGTCATCAGAATAACTGCATGTGGGGTGGTCATGGCTTGTTGCATGGTCTTTCTAGAAAACTATGGGCGCCCACTGGGGGGTGGAGAAACGAATGGCTTCTGTTTTCGTTCGCTCGGTTCGTGAAGGGCACTTGTGTTCTGTTCCTAGCATGGTAGTGTGTGTTCCTAACGCATGCGTTTCGCTGCCTCTCGGGTTAAGAAGATCCGATCTCTTTCAAACATTGCTGCGTTTGTCATGTCTCCATATCCTAATGCTTCCATAAATCCAGTCTCACCATTATGTGGAATATCAGTCGTGGGTTTAAGTTTGCACATGACGTTGAGGACAGACAGATGGAAGGTAAGCTAGGAAAATGATTTAGAAGTGGAGGGGAATACCTCCCACGCTGTGTGAGGGTTCAGTTCGCTTCGAGCCAGGGAAGCATAACAGAGACACTCTGGTGGTTATACTTGATTGTTAAATGCCTGCATGGGGGGGCGCCTGGGTGGCGCAGTCGGTTAGGCGTCCGACTTCAGCCAGGCCACGATCTCGCGGTCCGTGAGTTCGAGCCCTGCGTCGGGCTCTGGGCTGATGGCTCGGAGCCTGGAGCCTGTTTCCGATTCTGTGTCTCCCTCTCTCTCTGCCCCTCCCCCGTTCATGCTCTGTCTCTCTCTGTCCCAAAAATAAATAAACGTTGAAAAAAAAATTTAAAAAAAAAATGCCTGCATGGGAATAATTTGGATATAATTTGGAAATAATTTGGACGTCTGGCTTTTAATTCCCCTTTTCTTCTCGATTTTTAAAGCCTGGATAGCCTACCTGGTATCCACGCCATCATGATTTCCGATTTCGAAGCTGGACGTGTATAAACTCCACCCGGCCTCGCGGCAACTGAACCCTTCACTAGCTGTGCATGAGTAGAACTAGCTGTCTAGTTCTGGATTTTTCTCTGGTTGTATGGAGTAGCACAAGGGCACTGTTTGTTAAGGGCTGCATTATTCTCTGATGGGTCTATGTGTAGCTAGACGGCCCCCGCCACCCTGAAAGCATTAGTAGAACTCATGTCCCACGTCGCACACTCTCTCCGGTTCCTCCGCCCTCCCCAAGGCAAATTTGTACTTTTCACCATTTGCAAATCAGTGTCGAAAAGCAAGACGGGCTCAAAATCAATTTGGGAAGAACCACATTTGAAACCAACACGTAAGTCACGTAGCGTAGCTCGGGTCTCGTGCTTCTCCACATAACCCACGGGGTGGTTTTCTGGTTCGTGGCCTGTAAGCTGGATGTTGACGGTGATTATTTTCAGGTAAGTCTGGCAGCCAGCGGAAAGTCGGCCGACGGCGGCGTCGAGGAAGAGCCTTGGAAGCGTGAAAAATAAGGCTACGGCTCTCAGCAAATTCTTGAATAAACTCCCCAGCTTATCTTATGGTAAAAGAGAGCTCAAAACAAGCTCTCTTTAAAAAAGAAGAAAAGATGCATTTATTTCTGTGTTTACTTAATCCGTTAGCCGAGGCTCCGAGGATCTGTTGTGAGTCAGTGATAGGCACGGTGCTGTGTGTTTGCCAAGTCACGCTTCGTGACCGTCTCGTTTTCTCACCCGTGTTATTGTTTGGACGGATGCTGCTGGAGGAACCAGTTGGAACTGCACGCGCATTCTTGCCGGCTTCCCACTTCTCTCTAAACGCAGCGCCGTGGGCGCTCTTTTCCCCGGGGGATACGACTAAAGCAATGTGGTGCACTCCGGGGATTTGGGATGACGAGCAGACACTCAGCGTGTGATCCCAAGTGTTTTGCATGCTCCCGCTTCATTCCGCGCAAGAGATTCTGTTAGAAGCCTCTAGAAGTTAATTCTCTCGAAATGTCTTGTAGAGTTTGCCCATGTGTTGATTAAAAGCGAATACCTGCCTTAGGGAACCCTGATGATCTAGCTTCTATATATATATATATATATATATATATATATATATATATATATATACACACACACACACACACACACTCTTGAAACGAAGTATTTCATAGAAAATTCTAGTGGCCACTGTGCTCCTCGCGACAATTGATCACGGAACCCGCTGAGTTTCTGCTCCACCCTTACCTAGTCTGTGGCAATAGTTATTGACATTTCAAAGTATGTTTCATAATTTGCTCCAAACTTGATCATGGATTAGGATGTAATTTGCACATAGCCGCTGTATATATTGACAAAAGTAAGAGAGCACAGCCAACACAGACTTGAACCAGATTCAAATAATCCAATTTGTTTGGGTTTGGTTTGCATTCACCTGACATAGTGAAATCAAGTGAGATTATTTGCTTTATGCTTTCCTTTCTTTGCTTCAGCCCTCAAATACTTGTTTGGGTTTCTAACCAAAAAAAAAAAAAAAAAAGGGCATTTTTAATCCCCAAATTATTTCAGTTATAGCCTCATTAACCTGGAAGACCTAATCATTTTACTCTCCTCACACATGGAGGACAGTTATGTTGGCTATGCCTCTTTTAACACCACCTCTCGATGAAAGCAAAACACTGTCATTGATCGAATGCGTAGAAAGCTTTTGGTACTATTCTCTCAAAGCACATAAAACCAGGTATAGGGCACAGTTGAAAGCAGGGTCCGTCTTCTTCCCTAGTCTTCTCTGTAGCAAGGAACAGAAAACAAGCATGGGCAAATCCCTATAAAGGTGACACTCCTGTGGCAAAGTCAAGGTAGAGTTCAAATTCTTTGGGGAGAAGGGGTGTAGAGAATCCCATACGCTTTATTACCTATTCCTGATGACTTTTCTTTTCCAAACCAGACCCCTTTGGAACATACAAGAGACGTGAGCTTCCCGTTGCTTTTGTCTCTGAAACCCTTGTTATTTTTGGATAAGGATCACTAGTGAGCAGTATTAAGCAGCTTTTTGCCTTTAAAAAACAATTGCCATTGGTTCTTCATTTTCATTAGATGGACAGTTGACTGGGTGGCCAAGGACGTGCTGAAATGTAGTAGTGGAAAATGCATCCTTTAGAGCAGATATTGTGGGTCAAGGGGACAGTTCCTGGATTTAGCTATGAAACTGTTATGGCTTGTCTTTAAGTGGTGCTCCCGAGAGCTTTTTTATGGCGAAGAGAAGGATCTAGGCAAGGCGGCGAGGAGTTTGTGGGTTTTGCTGTTTAAGGCCAGGTTAGCACTCGTACACGCTGACATGTTTCCCCAAAGAGTGGTCTCAGGATTGTCTTCCCAAGACTCTGCCTAAATGTCTTCCTGCCTTGCTTTGTCGTCAGCATTTTCCTACTTGTCCTATGAATACATAAGGGGACAATGATTCAGAAGAAACAAGGTGTATGCTTAACAAAGCAGGTTTTTCTGTTTTTGGACTACATCTAATACATTTCATGAGAATATGCTTAGGAAATCACATTCATCTGGAAATTCGACACATCACATTGAAAATGAATAATCTGTCAAGTTCAGGACTAACCTGAACATCCAGGATGTATGTAGAGCTGACGTATGACTGTGTTCTCTATTTGTTTAGGTCTCATTCATTCTTCTCATGCCGTGCCCATTTGGGCTTTCCTTGCCCATCATGTGTGCCATGAACAGAACAAATGGATCCAGAGTGTACCTCCAAGACACTTTTTCTAAATCAGATCTGTATAATCTGTCAGTTATATGCATAGATTTATATTAATAGGTTCAACACAGATATAAATGCTTATAACAGTCCATTAATATTTGATGATGCATAAAAGTTATGTGCAGACACAGCAGGCCAGAACCATACGCTCATCCTATGAGGTCAGTAAGTCAGGGCTTCGGCAACGCCGTTTTGTTACAGACCCATTCACTCTTCTTAGGAATCCGCATCATTTTGAGAGCAAACCAACTCACCAGACTTTGATCTTCCCCTTTACGATTTTTGCCCACTGGGAAACCCGAGTAGAATCATCATGTACTTACTAACTACAATGCAAAGAGTCAAATCCAGTCAGCAAGAAGAATGGCTTATCTCTTTGAGGATGTGCCTCCCATATAGAGTATCAAAGAATCAAGGCAATCGTGTAGATTATGTAGATCTTCAATATGGACTTCAAGTAATAAGATCTGAACCAAGTAGATGTCAGATTCAATTATTCACTTCCTGTTGTGTGTGGAAACACAGTCTAGGGTCTCATTGCCTGCAGAAGTTACCTTGTCTGTAAAAGACAAGTGTGTGCTTCTCCCCTGCAACTGCTGGTCAGCTGATTTGCTTCTCCCCTGCAACTACTCGTCAGCAGAAAGAAAGGGTATCCCAATGCCTAGCTCCTGGATGTAGACTGGTGGAAACTGACAAAGGCTTCAGGGAAATTCAATTTGTGGGGAGATGTATTCCTGGTAGGAGATGTCAGGAATCCCAATGACTGGTTGATTAGAGGGCCTCAGGTTATTTCCAACCTTGCATGGGGAAGTGGGTCATTTGGCAGTGTGTCTCATCAAGAAACCCTTTTGGAGTTGGGTAACTCCTCTGCCAGGTTTCTGAAAAGAAACCCAATCCTGCCATGTTTTTGCAACTGTCCCGCTTCCTTTAGTTTTTAGTACAATATTTTACTTTTGTCAGGATTACGGGTTCTGTCTGTGCTGTATTTCCCCCAGGAGATACAGCAGTAAGTCCAAACAGGTACACACATGCTCAGAGAGAATTCTTCCATAGTTCAGACTCTTGAGGAGCAGGTCTTTGTAGCCCTTGCTTGGCTTTATGGCTAAAAGTGCTCAGCAGTTACACCCAGTGGACGTGGCTCTTCTGTGCTGCTTTTTAATTCTTAGGGCCATATAGTTGGTTTTACTTTCCTTATTCTCCAAATAAACTCATTCCAAGCCAAGCAAATGGACCAATGATAGATTTTTTTTTCAGTTGTCATAACACTTGCTCTTGGAATACTTGGGTCACAATAAGTGTACTCTTAATCCCCATCACCTGTTTCACACACACCCCATCTCCCCTCTAGTGACCACAGGTCTGTTCTCTATACTCAAAATTCTGGGGTTTTTTGTTTTTTGGGTTTTTTTTTTTTTTTTGTCTGTCTCTCTTTTTTTTTCTTCATTTGTTTCTTAAATTTGACATATGAGTGAAATCCTATGGTATTTGTCTTTCTCTGACTTATTTCACTTAGCATTATACTCTCTCTGAGAACATAAAAAGATTAAGCAAAGAGCCTGAAGAAATTCTGAAGTGAGAGTTCTGTAAATCTAGTTGTCAGAGATCAATGGTCTCCGTATCTCTGGTGCCCTCTGGTTAAAACCTAGGATAAGGGCCGTTGAGCGCCACCCCAGGCAGGTGCCCTAGCGGCAGACTGTTCGCCTTAGGTGGAGCAAGTCCAAAGCTTCTCATGCAACAGTAGCTTATGGTTTTCCCAAAAGGAAAACCCAAGGCCCCACCCTTCCTCCTCCTTTCTTATTCTACCTGCCATCCTTGCTGCTTAAGAGACAATTAAGTAGAAGACCACATGTGTCAATGCAAGAGTTGGCTTTAGAAAAGATGGCAAGGCATCTTATTTGGACACTATCCCATTGCATAGCATAACACAACAAATTCAGGCAATGACATAGGGGTGATGAGAAATGACCCAATTGGGTACAGGAAACATTTGACTTGGATGGTGCCAGTTTGTAGCTGTATAACTTACACAAGTCACTTTATGCCCAAACCTCATTCCTTCCCATATGTAAAGTGAAGGGGTCGGCTTAAGTGATTAAAACCCTCTTCCAGTCCTGAGAATCCGTGATATTATGATCTCTCCTTTAATTTCTTATTTTATTAGAGGCTTACTACTATAAAATATGACTTACGTATCATTTAAGTCGGAGTGGCCCACGATGGTGAATAATCACTTTGGATCTTTTTTCATCCCCTTGGGGGGATATTAAACTCAAGCCTCTCTCTTCATTTGATGTTTTACAACAAGCTTGGAAGCTGGCCATATTAATCCACAGTTTGTGTTTTGGGATGCCAACAGACATCCTTTTACAAAACTGCCCTTTGCCTAACTCACTGTCTTCGTAGAAGTAGGCGATTGAGCTCAGAGGAAACTGCTGCTTGGCCAAGGGGCAGGGTGCGTCCATAGCTTCACTCAAGGCCTTAGATCATTCCTGCCGTAGCAACAGAGCCCCTTCCAAACACCCCAAACACACGGTTTTCTCCAAACCGTCCTAATTGCCAACCCAGTATGGGAATTGGGGAGGCTTTGGCAAGTAAACTGGAACACTTTTATGAAATTTGGTGCAAGATTTACAGAATAACAGCAACCATCTGTCACTATCTTCCCTCTCTGCCTGTATGCGGTCACGCGCATCCAAGCACAGGCTGAGCCTGGGCCAAGTCCTTTCCCTGGAGAGAGAAGCAGGGATATTTGAATTCACTTTCAAATTGTCCCCCTGGTTCGTTTTTATCGTGGGCACCACGTAGAAGCTCTGTCTCACAAGAGTGGAGCTGGGCTGGTTACCATTGCCCTCGTCAATACCTCAGGAATTTCTAAGGTAGATAAAATGCGTGGTCTGTCTGCAAGGTGCGTGCCACCAGCCGTGGCCTTTCAACACCCTCTCGCACTTTCTGGTACTGCTTGCAATGGGCCGCTGCCTTGATCCTCGCTCTCCGTCCAGACTTCTGCTAAATATGGAATAGGTTTGGTATTGAATGTGCTGTGAGCACCTTTATTGCCAGAGAAGACTTCAGCTCTTTAGATTTGAGGAACCATGATGTAAGACCGGGGCTGAAAGGACGGGGTTAAGTTTTCTCTGTTTGTTTGCTTTTTACGTGCAGAAGACCGGATTGTGAGAGCAGCCAGGAAAAGGCTATTTCTCAACTGACCCAAATAAGAACCTAGAAAAGTGAGAGAAGCCCTCACGTTCTTCTTTCATTCACTCAAATTATATCCTGAATAATTACCGATGAGGTTTTTTTTTTTTTCCCTGTGTCCAGCCTTGCTTCACCTTCCTACCTCCAAACCAAGTATCCATTTTTATATTTTCATTCTTCTGATTGTTATACGGGGGCCCTTTCGTGCCGAGACTAAAGCTGATACCGAAACAGACCCCACTGCTTTGCAGAGTCGACACATGGCCTGGAGCATGGGTAATGACAGGTCCCCAGTTTCTCCAGAGACACCCCCAACCCCTGGGTGAGTGTTGGAGCGTACCAGCTGACTGTTACCCTTGTCATCGTTCCCCATGGAGACCGGGGATGACGAAGTCAGAGCCTTGCTCCTTCTGGGGCTCCGTTTCTCCCCATGGCAACCATTCAGCCTGCCTAGAAATGGCTGTTGCCTTTGGTGGGAGAGAAATGCACACACTAGGCAAGGAAGTTGGTCTAGCACAACTCAGGTTTTCTCCTCCGTGGAGCGAATCCTCTGAGATGTGTGATCAGAAAGCTGGCGCTCTGGTTGCTTAATACTCCGGGAGAGCAATTTTCC